CGCAAATGTGCATTAGTATCTTAAAACAGGCCACAATCACTTCTCCTGTATCTATTCCAGTTCACAAATCATCCAATCATGAATTAATTGATTGATATTAAGGCACATCTGTCCCTTCATGAATATGATTATTTTTTGTTGGTGGTATGAAAATGACACCACACTCTGATATACACAATGTTCATGTTGATGTATCAATCATTAATCCTAGATATGTTACTGAATATCAAGATTCCTTAGTTATAATTAATTTAGCATGTAACAAGTATCAACAGCAACAATATTTTAAGAAACTGTACTGTACCTGCAGGGCATGAACCGCTTCTATCCACTGAGTGCGTTCAAATTCTGATGATAAGAAAAATGTGTATGTGCGAGCAGCCGAACGGTTTCCGACTCGGAAGACCAGATTGGGCGATGCCAGCACCAGCTGCGCCTCAAGGTCGGCCAACTTCTTTCGCTGCTTATCTGAACCTCGACTGCTCAGTCTTGAGCGCTATCAAGCAGGCCAAAAGAAAAAAGAAACGAATAGCTGACACTTCCATTTCAAATCATTTTAAATTCTGGTAGAAAAAATTGAGAAATAAAGGAACTTTGTAAAATGCACAGCTAAGAAAGTACCAACTTACCAAAAAAGACTCATCACTATGCAGTTATTTAGACTGCATGTTACTTACTTAGCTATCTCTGAGACAATCAAATAACATTATGTCAGTAATGAAAATAAAAACAATAAAACTGAATTCAGAGAGGGATATCGTGAATGATATTGAAAACATTTCAAAGGGCATAACAATCAGAGTATACTGAACACTTCTACTTCTAACCTTATCGTCACTCTTCTCATCCCGGAGTATCTGATCTCGTACGGTACAAGCCTGAGACTTCAGGGTCACAATATTAGCAGGTGAATTCTCACGAGGCTCAACAGCTGGCTCTTCAAATATCACTATTTCACTCAATGGAATGTACCATTTCAACTCAAAAGTGAACTTGTCTCGTCCAGATGCCTGCAAAAACATAGTAATAACAAACATTGTACTCCATCTCAGAGGCGTATCTACAAGCAAATGTGCGATACGCATGCAGATGAAACTTGATTTTAAACATTTTACAGAAAGTTTGATAAAACATTATTTTAAAATAATTCTGAAACTGTTACACAACCATAAACTGCTGCACTGACATTTCAGTAAGCAGTGAAACTGTCATAAATATGTGAAAAGAGAGATTTACAAATAACTACCCCTTACTGACTGACATACAAACAAAACACAAGTCATTGTTTGACATTCTTCCAATGTTTTTTCTTGATTATCCCATACCCTTGAACAAGCCATTTTGTTAAGAAATAGAAAATATCAAAAGGTTTAAGCAAATTTATTCAAGTATTAAATTATATATGTTGAGTGCATGTATATATAAAACAGTGTCTTGAAACTAGAATGTGATATTCTGTTTTATTTTCATTACATGCCTCAAAGACCTTGGACTCATGTTCTTTCTCAAATGCTAAGGATACACCTGATCTCACAACAGAATGCTTTCCACCACTGACCCTTTTCTTCTTTCCCCAGTATCTTATACAACATCCACCAACACAGTTCCTACTAGCAGAATGAATTCCTACATCTTCTCCTTCTTGAATCACCTTCAGTTTTTCACTAACCATGAATGGTAATAATGCATCCGTTTAAAGCACCTTGTACATCAGCAACCACTTGTACATACATTGTGAGGAAGTTGCGAAAGTTAAGATGCTGCTGTCAACTTAATTATAACCCCCAGCTTTTGGCATCACTGGCATTTTACAAAAAGTGCACGGGTATTTGCAAAAATATGGTATTAAATTTATGTGCATCAGTGACAGATTTAAATTCCTTGTATTTACCCTAAGAAGTTCACTGGAAGGTATTAAATGTACACTGCCCAGGTAAGTACGTGGTTCTAAGATAGACATTTTGAAGCAAATTCCCAAATGCTGTACTGTATTATGATTTTCCACCATTACATCAATAACTGTGCTTTCAAAATGTTAGACACTTGACACTGTTATAAGTGTAAGAGCAAAAGTCTGTTCAAGAATGAATTCACCAACGTATCAAGTTATGAGGATTTCTGTGTTGCTTAAACATAGTATGTTTTACCTTGTATTTTGCACAAGCTATAACATCGTTAAAAAGAAAAAGATGCCGAAGTTTACGGTGTCCATCTGACAGCTCCACTATAAATGAATTCTTCACAAGACGGCGCTGGGCTCTATCAGCCGACTGTCAGAAAGAAACAAAACAAGTCTGATAAAGATTGACACGTCTTAACATAACATGAAATGAATTCAAATTTCTAAGTTGTATAAGGGACTTCAACATTGGATATGGAGGTAATACATTCTTACAAAACACCTACAAGAATAAACAGTATCACAATGCATGTTTTTGCAGCCCCAAGATCTATTACTTCCCTGCATATCTTACTAGATCAAGCTTCCTGCAAGCACGAGGGTGGTCCAACTGAATGACAGCAGAAGTAACACACTAATTTATGAACATTTGATGCATAATCATGCATGTTTCTGCAAGGTTTAGAAACAGCACTGGATCATCAGCTCATGGTAAGTCATGTAACTGGAAGCTCACTCTTAAATTGGCCAGTATCACAGAAGTAAAGAAATATGTGAGACAACATCTAATGCCACCCAAATTTTCCTAAGGATTTTTTAACGTGTTTTGACATGGCATCACTAATTAAACTGGTACCAGTACCACTTCAGGCTGTGCATGGACAGCAACAAACTGGAACAAACCTGCTGAGCTGTGATCTGAGCCATCTCTTCTTTTTTCTGGCACAAAGAACACACCACTTTTTTGGTTTGGCATCCACGATCAGGGAGAGGTTCAATTATATATGATTTGAGGTTTCCATGGCTGTAAGTATGAAGATGGCTATTTTCTGGACTGTTCAACCCAGAAGACAGCCATCTTCAGGTTCAATTATGCTCTACACAACAGCTACTGTTTTATTCTTTGCAGGGTCAATCAGTGAGCTTGGTAGTTTCATCTTTGCCCCAGCATACACCAAGGACCACAGATATCCTACACTTGACTCACACAGTTCGAATGTTCTGTACCAGAGGAATGTACTGTTTGAATGATTATCCCTTCCTGGTACTGCCATACTTAATGGACTCCTGTTGCCAAGAGAATATTTTCATTCCTTACAATCTTTTGCAATGAGATGGAGAGACAGCCGGCAATTATATGACTTACCGGAAACATGGTTTTTGTTTGGATCATGTTAAACTCATCCAAGAAGTTCTGTGTCATCTTGAGAGCCTCATTTAATGTCTTATGATCTGGATGTGAATCTGGAGTATACTTCAGCAAATCCTGTAACAATTATTCACTTCAATCCAACACTCCTGTGAGCATCCCTCCCCAATACACACACATATATTTCTTCACTCTTACAGATGTTATAACATTGTAGACCAAACATGGGCAAACAATAGGTAGCCTCAGGCTGGATCTAGTTCCCTCATCATGGTCGCAGGTTTCATAACATATCAAGTAAGTTACAGTGACCTCCCAATTATCCATGTATGGATTATCCAGTTTGTAGAATACCTGGTTTGCAAATTAACTCTGCATGCAAACACATCTGAACTAAGATGGATGTCTTCCTGGTTGTAGCATTGTGTAGTCTGGTAGAAGTTTCCCAACGTTTCAGAGATCATAGCTGCCTCCATCATCAAGGCAATGCATGTGGTAACTTATATAAGCAAGAAAAATAACTCGAAAATTATGTGAATATTTCTACACAGAGACAGTTCTGCCATCAACATATCTAAAGTTCTGTAAAACATACTGGCATAGCAGCAGCACATTCTCCTGGCCACATCCATGCTACACTCCGTCCTCACTGGGCACAACTATAGACCATAACAGTAAATATATACGTAAGAACACTTATCTGTCAATGTTAAAACACAAAACAACTTGATATCCTACAAATCAAATACACTACAGTCATAAAACTTGTAAAACTTTACATGGACTGAACAAAAGGCAATGGTGGGCCAGGGGTTGCTCATACTAGCTACTGATGATAATATCACTATACATCCATCATGATATGCTGGCCTTGTCTGAACTACCAATTTTGAACCACAACAAACTGCAATGAAGATTACTTACATTCATTAAATCCCCATCTTCTTGTAAAGTGTTGTTCAGTTTGTATAAAATTCTGTTAGAATTTGTGTGAGTCTGCTTTGTGTTTCTTGTATATGTTAAATATATTGTGACGTGGTGCCGAAAGAGCTGTCACCTTGCTCTGGAGGGGAAGAGCTGCCTATCTCCCCTCCCTTGCCAATGGACATGGACTGTAGATGTGGCCGTCGTGGAACGTTCCAGATGACGCATTCCCCTCCTTTCCAGAACCTTCGAGAAAGCGTACCTTCGAGATCCTTGCTTCTGGAACATTCCGCGACTGGGCCGGCGAATATAAAAGGTTGCCTCCCAGAGTGTTGGGGAGTCTCTCTGGCGCGGAAAGAATGGAACAATAGAGCGAGAGCTGTGGGGGTAATCCTGCGAGAAGTTGTGGCTGAAGTCTTGCACGAGTATTGTGTGGGGTCTCTGGTGGATGAGTGCGGAATAGTGTGAAGTGCCTGAGGAGCCATCGAGCAGTGTAGTGTGGCGCTGAGAGCTGAGGGCCAAAGGCTGCATGTAAACAGCACCGGGTTTGTGGACCGTGGCGGCTAATGAGCCAGCATGCGTCCAGTGGGGTGCTACGGGCCGAGGGCTACGTGTTTGAGTGAAGAGCACCAAGCTTGGGGGACCAGAACGGCTCAATGGACAGTGCATGCTGAAGGAACGAGAGTGTGTATGTGTAGAGCCAGAGACCTAGAAACTGTAGTAGCATAGTTGCCTATATGTGTAGACTCTGTAAATTGATTTATTCTCAATAAATCAGGGTTGGCATAGAGCCCATAGCAATGGTCGTCAGACGACAGGAGTCGACATCACGATATCAACAACTTATCTGAAATATTTCATAACTTGGTGTTTCATTAGCAATTTGTTTATTTGGTTACAATGTAAGTATTGTTTCTGCTAAAATTGCAGACTAGAACATACATATTTTATAACATGAAGTGCATTCACTGACTTGTGCAAATAGTGTGCTACAGTGATACAACAGACACAAGTAAAACTGATGTGCAACTATTTAATAAAGGCATTTAATCAATATCTCTCTCATGACCTGTAATACATAGTGAAGTAGGAAGAATAATGTAGTTTATGCATGATTCTATGTGCTGAGAGATGGTAAATTATGTTTTAGTAGGCAACCACACTGAAAATATTCTGGAACATTGGTACACGGTATATATATAATCATGAAGTTGGAGATACTTTGTGTTTATGTACTTGTCTACAGAGAAATTAAACTTTCATAAGGACAACAGTATGTATGAATAAAACATTTTTGTACTTACATGTAAGACCAATGCATTTTTCTGTACACGAGCTACTGGCTTATGAAGCAAGTCTTCTAGAGACAGGGACTGCGACTGTCCTCCACCAAGTGACTTCAAACGAATATCTCGTGTGATGTCAGCAAACTGGGCACTTGAGGCAGAGCATTTGCGCACTGTGTCTGTCGCACGCCCATAATTAT